GCGGGAGGCCCGGGTTCGATTCCCGGCCAATGCAACAGCTGTATTATTTTGCACCCTGGTGTCCCTTGGGGGACCTTGGTGACATCCTGTTGCCCTGTCCCTGCAGACAGATGTGGAGGCGGTGGTGGCCGACCTGGTGAAGCTGGTCCACAGCGCGGGCGCTGAGAGCCGGAGCAAGGCCGTGCGCCCCAAGGCACTGCTGGACAACTGCCTCAAGGTCATGCGGATGCTGTACGGAGTGCCCTGTGAGTTGGGGATGGGGAGGGGGCCCTCGGGGAACTCAGGTGCCAAACATGGGGACCCTGACTCATCTGGTGACACCTGTTCCCTCTGCTCAGGTCGATGGGAGTCCACCTAACGCTGCAGAAGACCCCTCACTCGACACCTTCTCCTTGCCCTGGAGCCTCGGATGCTGCCTCTGCTCTGCCACTCCCAGCAGAGCCCCAGGGGTGTTCCCAAGGAAGGTGCAAAGGTGGGACAAATGCCACCTCTTCTGGGACCAAACATCACTCCTTCCAGGACCGTGGGACTGTTCATGGCCGTGGGGTTTTGCCCATCCAAAATGCCTGGCACCTTCAGCATGGGTGTAGGGTTGGACAGAGCCCCCCATGATGGGCAGCTGTTGAGGGGGACACGCTGCCCTCCCTGCCCACACGAAGGGTGAGGGCATCACCCCATTCCTCTCTGTTTGTATTTTCCCCTCAGCTTTCATTAAACAGCAGTTAATTCTCTAGCATTGCAGCTCAGCTTCTGACCGGGTCCTGGGAGCCTCCAGCCTCACCCAAAATAAAGGACCAGCAAAGAGAACCCCCCTGCCTCTACCGCTTCCTATTTTGGGGAGGAGGTGGCACCTTTTTTGACGCCAGCCCCCTCCCTCGCCACTGTGGGGGAGAGACTCACCCTGATATATGGACCCCCAGAGCCACTGCCTGCCAAACTGCCTCCATCAGCTCCGGCTGCTTCCCCAGCAAGAAAACATCTGGATTTGTTTGTTGTGCTTGGCGGTGCAGTGTGGGCGGTGAGCTGGGGGGACTGGGGGCTGCCTGGCTGCCTCCCCCCTTCACAGATTAGTTAATTACCTCCACCAGCTATTAGAGACCTTAATTAGTGTATTTCTTGCTGAGGGCTGCTTAGACCTATGAGTCTGTGGGCACTGCAGCACGAGTGGTGGTAATGTCTTCCTCCTCCTCCTCCTCCTCCCTTCGTGCTTAGCAGTGGTTCCTGTTTATATAAAGCCCATGCAGAGCTAATATAAAGCCCACCAGCGATGATCCACCGCTTGATAAAGGGCTTTAATTAGAGGGACCCCCTCTCCCATCCTCACTGGCTTTAACGAAGATCCCCCCACATGGTCCAGAGACCCACGTGGGGCTGCCTGAGCTCCCAGGGCTGAGCCCTCAGGGCTGAGCCCCCGCCTCCCACCCCCTCACGTCAGGCGTGGGAATGATCCTCCGTCCTCCTCCACCGTGGGAAAATTGAAGCTGTCCCAGCAAAATGACCCCGGCCAAGCTTCCCAGAGCATCCCTGCAGCAAATGGCCGGGCTCGGGGCTTGCCAAAGGCCTGTGTGTCCAGCCCACTGGAGATATTGCGACATTTTCCTCCAGTGCCTCTTTCGAGGGATGGCTTCAAAAATGTCGGCTGAGAGCCACTCACACGAGGGGGAGTGGGAGCTTGTTTGCACTATTTCCTGGCGTACCGTGAGGTGGGGTAGATCTAGGGAGGGTCCAGGTCCCAAAAGACGTTCCTAGAGATGTGCTGGGACTAGGGAAATCTCTCCCTGCGAAATCCCCGGCTGCCGGAATAGGAAGAGCCTTTGCTGCCCTTGAGTCAGCAGGAAAAAAGCCTGGCAGCATCCTCGGGGTGGGCACAGAAAGGCTGGCTGGTTTTGGGGTGGGCAGGCTCGGCAGGGTGAGAGCTGGGCTGTGCTGAGGCTGCCCCATGGCTGTAGTTTGGGGACTGTCAGGGATGCCCCCAGGCCACCAAGCAGTGTGGCTTATGGTCCTAGAGTGAGGATGCTCAGGGGGTTCCCTCAGTCCCAAGGGATGCCCTGGACACAGGAGCACACTTGGAGCACCCTTCTCTCTGCTCTTCTGGCCCAACTCAGCATCCCAGGCAGTGGGGCAGCAACCCCAGCTCTCACCCCCCAGCCAGGGCATCCCTGTTCTCCCCCCCCCAGAACCAGAGTGAGCCTGCAAATGGCAGTTCATTAGCTTTAATTAATTAAGCTCAGCAGACAGGCTCTGCTCTCACCAGGGCAGCCTCTGCCCTCTCCAGTCCCAGAAGGTGCCGTTGCTGGTGGCCGAGAGCTGGGACAGCAGCCGCAGGACACCCTGGACACTCTGCTCCACTGTCACCGGGCCCTGCTGGACCCAAGGGTGGGGGAGAAAATGAGCCAACACCCTCCATCCCAGCACCCCCATTCCCGTCCCATGGTGGGATATCAGCTCTGGTTGGGGTGGTTTGGGAGGCCAGAGGTGCTCTAGCAGGCAAGGGATGTGGCTTTGAGTGAATTGGTTTGCTGCTGTAAGGATGGAGCTTATTTTTTTGGTTCCTAATTAAAAAGCGACTCTTTTTTCAGCCAGTGCACAGTAAAGGGGCAGCCGAGTGCAGGGCCGGGGTGCCCTCTGCTGACACACCAGTGGGATGGGAAAGGAAATAGAAAGGCAAATAAAAAAACTGGAGAAAATTGGATGGTTTTGTGGGAGATCCTGGAATTGGCCCTTTGCTGTGGTGATGCAGCCACCCTGGGACTGAAGGGCACAAGGGTGAGTGCCCAGGAAAGGGATGCCCATGGGAAGGGACGTCCCAAGGAGGAGTGCCCCTGGGAAAGGATGTCCATAGGAAGGGATGTTTCTGGGAAGAGATTTATTTGACAGGGGATGTCTTTGGGAAGGGATGACTCTGAGCAGAGATGCCCATGGGAAGGGATAACTGTGAGAAGGGATACCCCTGGAAGGGATGCCCCTGGGAAGGGATGACCTTGAGAAGGGATGTCTGTGGGAAGGAATGTCTGTGGGAAGTGATGCTCCACGAACAGATGCCCCTGGGAAGGGATGACCCTGAGGGGGGATGGCCTTGGGAAGGGATGACCCTGGGAAGGGATGCCACAGGAAGGGATGTCCGTGGAACTTTCCTGAGCTAGGATGGCCAAGCACTTCCCATCACTCACCATCCCCTGTTCCAAGGGAGGTGTCACACAGCCAGGGTCCACAGACACGCAGAGGATCCCGCTGCTCCCGTACTCCAGGGCCAGGCACTTGGTGAGCATGTTCAGAGCAGCCTGGGAGAACAACCCACACCCCCTTACCACCATAAGCTGGCAGTGCCAGAGCCCGTGGTGGGGGGAATCTTGCATGAGGTGACCCCCAAACTCCTCCCCATCCTCCCATGGCAGTACCTTGCTGCAGCGGTAGGAGATGTCCTGCCTCTCCTCCCAGGCCTCCGCCACCTCGATGGAGCCCAGGATGCTGGAGATGTTGACGATGGCAGCTCTGCTGCAGCTCATCTCACGCTGCCCTTCAGCCTCAGCTGCCTCCTTCAGCAGGGGCAGGAAGGCCTGCAGGGGATGGGATCTTGGGCATCACCATCCTCTCCCTCCCTATTCCCAG